AGAAGATTTATATGAAAAATCTAGGTTCATATCTCAACAGAAGAATTTTCAGGGTAACAAATTCAAAGATGTATTCATCTAATATTTCTTTAAGAAAATGGATCTATATAATAAGTGATATCTTCAACAATATTTTTTAAAATATATTTTATTGATTTTTTACAGAGAGGAAGGGAGAGGGATAGAGAGTTAGAAACATCGATGAGAGAGAAACATCGCCCTTGACCGGAATCGAACCTGGGACCTTTCAGTCCGCAGGCCGACGCTCTATCCACTGAGCCAAACCGGTTTTGGCATCTTCAACAATATTTTAATGAAATATGCAGAAAGTTACCAATGACAACAATTTGTTTATTATGTATTTACTACATACTAAAATAATCTTTTTACAAATGCCATGAATAAAATTCTAAAACTTTTAGCAGAGTTGAGACCAAATATTGATTCTCTAACTCTAATGCATAAAATTTTCCATTTTTTCCACTATATTATCCTATACCTACCATATATCGAAGAAAATTTGACCTTGTAATCATACAGACATGTGCATATACACATGCAAGCATATGTATAAAACTTTCATAATTCACACACCACATATACACACACATATACTTTCGCCAGTACCAACAATCTTATTGAAATAAGAGATGAGTCCTTTCAGTAAATAAAAATGACTCCATTAACTAAATGATTAAATTCACACAGCATCTGTCAAGCTGACAATTTACTACATTTTGCATTGGTTACCCTTGTCCGTTTCTCATGGTCCATCAGGTCATGATTTTTTTTTTTCGTTTCATGATCTCGCTTGCAATCACTATATATCAGTCAATGCCCAGAATGCAAAAAATAAATAAAATTGAGCCCACAATAAAAACATATCTAGAATTTTAATTTAATACCAGTCATCAAAAGTCTGGATCAATATACCAAAAAAATAATATTCCTTTTCTCATTTTATAAATGCAATCAGTTCTAAATACTAATAATCTTATTAGCTACATTAAAACATGAGGCATGGATGAAACACAGCAGGCCTTGGGGTGTAGTGATACCACTAGCTTTTAGCCCTGCAAAGAAAACATCAATAAATTATATTGTTGGCACACTCAGAAGACGAGGAAACCAACCAACAGCTTGCCTTTTTTCCCCTTTTCATTACCTCACAAAGCTGAATGAACACATTCATCAGCTAAATAGCCTTGAGCTATTTGAGATTAAAAATTTTGGATGTGAGAAGTTATTCTCTTATTGCAAATCAACTACTGAAAATGCACAGAAATCAAAGGACTATAACCAAGTGATTCATTCAGGAGATTATGGTACTTACAGCAATTCCCTGAATTCTGAGCCTACGATACTCCCTTTCCCAGCCTTTGCTTAGCCCAAACATCTACATTAGTGGTTCTCAAAGTGTGGTCTCCAGAGCAACAGCCACAGATTCATGTGCTGTGAACTTATTAAAAATAAAAATTCTTGAATCCTGCTGAGACCTACCGACCCAGACCCTCTGGGGGTGGGGCCCAGGACTCATGCTCTGATGAATTCTCTCGGTGATTCAGGTGGTCACTAAAATTTGAGAACTGATCTGAATAAAGGACTCCTCAAATTATTTTTGCCTTTGATGCCTCACTTTATTCCTCACTTGCATCCTCATTCATAATTACCAACTCCTGCTGCTTATTATAGATCTCCTCATTGGAAACCGCACTCAGGCACAGTGTGAGGATGCTCCGTCAATCACTGCTGTCTTGTCTCAACAGAAAAACATCTCGGGACTCTCTGCCCCTTCCTCAGCTGCAGCTCTGTGACTGTAGGGATGTACACCTTTGAGGATCCATCCAACTGGCCATCATGACTGCTTGACTCATTGGTCACAGTTCTCCACAAATCGCCTGCATGCACGTGCACTTGGCCCTCATGTTGTTCAAGTCACACCCTCTCTGCTAACTTGCCATGTGAACCTGCTGCTCAAGCCGCTGAGGTTGCCCCCTGTGGATGTTCAATATCTTGTTTAATCAAGAATGCTGGTTTATGTCACTACATGACCTTCTGCCGTGGACCCGTCTCATAGGGAAGCTTGGAATAGGAAGGGGGACTGGTAATTCCTTAGGAGGAGGAGGAAGGGCCGGCACTACAAAGGGTAAGCAAGTGATGCCCCAAGCCCAGCACAGAGAGATGAATCAGATAAAGAACTGGAGAGCAGTTTGGTTTTCAACAATCGTTTGCAGCTAAGGGAAGTGAGGCAAGGCATTACTTCCTGAAAACTATCTCACGTTCTTATTACTTAAGTGCTAAGAATACTAACTTCTACTTCGTTGGCTCCTTTCTCTGTCTCCACAGATCATACTACTGTATTTGGGTATGTCCAAAGATAATAAACAGGGCAAAGCAGAAACCTTACTGTAGATACTCACTGAGTTCATTATAATATGGACACGTGTAAATGAAAATTACTGATTGAATTCAAATAATTCTGGATAACATATCTCAAAATAAGGAAACGCTATTTGTAACATGTCACTGATTTTAAGAAACACATCAGTGGATTACTTCCACTGTATTTCACAACATTTACATTTTTTCATCCTACCTTTTTCTATTACTAAAATGCTTAACTAATAAGCCCACTTGGTAGTGGACTTAACACCTGCTGGTCAACCTCTGCTGCACTGGTGTAGTGATTCGAGGACATCAGCACCTCTTCTGGAGCGTTCACATCAAAAACTGTAATAAAGGATTTAATATGAAGTTTCCAAAAATGTTCTTAACAGGGTTTGGTGGATGAAGCTGCCTTTCGCTCACTGTGTCCCCAACATCACTGTCACACTGACTCTGCCTGGCCCCAAATGGTCTGGCGGGTGATGCAGCTGTGGGAAAGCTAGAGCGAAACAAGGAATCCAGGGGAGGCCCAGAGACTGAGGAAGGAAGGCTCCCAGGCCTAATTCATACCAGCTCTAATTTGCTGCCTTGTCTATAACCAGAGAAATCGTCTATGGTTCTGCATCGCCAGACTCTAAGAAAACTCCCCTGATGTCTCTTTGCCCAGTGCAAAGAGTCTTGAGCTAACCTTACTGTCATTTTGAATCAGTGCCGGCACAGAGCATCACAGCCAACCATTCCTCTCCACAGCATATTACAACAGGGAAACGGGAGAGAAGTCTTAAGGTCACGATATGTATTTTTTAAATATATTTTTATTGACTTCAGAGAGGAAAGGAGAGAGAGAGATAGAAACATCAATGATGAGAGAGAATCACTGATTGGCTGCCTCCTTACACACCCCACTGGGGATTGAACCTGCAACCTGGGCAAATGTTCTGACTGGGAATCAAACAGTGACCTCCTGGTTCATGGGTCATCACTCAACCACTGAGCCACACCAGCCAAGTACTATATTTTTTAAACACCTTTGCGGAAGCAGCAAGCCCACTTCCCAAATACTCAATAAACAAAGGTTTTCATTCTTAACAAACAATAAGAGAGAAGCTCATCTCAGAACAAGCTGCCATTTCACTAAAATTGCAGGAAAAGTGCCGGCGTCGGAATTAGGTGCCTCTTGCTTAATATAGCTCCTCTGATAGAACTGGATCCTATTTCTCTCGCCCCCAGATTGCTCGCAAGGTGCTTGTTTACCTCCTTCAGGTCCTGCACCACAGCGGTGAGCCTCTCGTTCTCTGCCTGTAGGTTAGTGACCACGGCCCGGCTCTGCTTCAGTTCGTTCTGCATCTCCAAGATCTTCCCCAGGTAGTAGGCTTCCTTCGAGGCTGACTCCTGCAGCAGCGTTTCCTCCCGAGTCTCTCCATCCTCAGCAACTTTCCGGTGGATGGAGAAGGACTGCCCGAAGGCCTGCAGAGCATTGAAAAGAAAAAGAGGGCACAGTGAAACGCCCCATAAGAATGCTAGGAGACAGGCTTGGGGAATGCTTTGCTTGTAAGAAGAGCTGATCTGCAAGACCTCCAGAAGCAAAACTACATTTTTATACAACAGTCTAGCAGCTTTCATTGATACTTAATTCAAATTCAATTAATAAGGAAAATAATTTTTAAATATCTTGCTAAAAAATATATAAAAATATATAAATATATATAAATATATATATATATGATTTTTGTCATAAGGGTACTACTGCTCAAGATTGGTATATCCTTACTGCTAATATATTAGAAAGCTAATGAAATTATTGCTTTCTTCCTTGAAAAGCATATATATATATGCTTTTCAGGTTTTCTATATATATAAAACCTGAACAACATTGCTGCTTAAACATTGCTGCTTGCTTTAAGTTACCTTTTAAAAAAAAAAAAAAAATCCTAAGAAATAGATAGTTCAGTGCTAATGAGCTCATCCAAATGCATGTTCTCATTTTCATTCTAGAAAAAAATCTCCAACATGCTTTTCAAGGAAGAAAGCAATAATTTCATTAGCTTTCTAATATATTAGCAGTAAGGATATACCAATCTTGAGCAGTAGTACCCTTATGACAAAAATCATCAAACAGCATTCAAATTGCCTGGTATCACAAAAAGACTTTGAAATATAGTCAATGTATAAGAAGACATATAGGTAGCTACTTATTTCTGCAAAAAGAAAAACAGAATAATAAATCAGAAACTAATGAAATTGGTGAGTGAGAAGAGGGTAGAAAGAATGGGGGAATGAAATGTGATACAAATGGTGGGGGTGGCGCTTTTCTGAGTATGCCTTCTCATATGATTCTGACTCTTAGAACTAAAGTAATGTTTCACATACCTCCCCAATAAATGATAATTAAAATCAACCTCCATGTGTCAGGGGAACCCAAATGGAGCACAGACAACCAATGATCCTAGCTGTATTGCAAATGAACGACATAATTACACTAAAAGGGGTGGAGAAGAAAAGACCTAATCTGAATAAATTTTGGAAACTTTTAGAGAGAGTCGAATAGAAATGGAAAGACAGAAAGAAACATCTATGTGAGAGAAACACATCAATTGGTTGCCTCCTGCATGCTCCCCAACCAGGGCCTGGGCCAGGGAGGAGCCTGCAACCAAGATATGTTTCCTTGACCAGAATTGAACCAGGGACCCTTTGGTCCATAGGTCAATGCTCTATCCAATGAGCCAAACCAGCTAGGGCTGAAACTTCTTTAGATGTAAACAAGAGTTGAGCAAATAAGTAAATATAATACAGATAATGAAAGCCAGATCTCTCACTGTTGGAGAAAGAAGTTGCAAACAAGGAAGGGGAGACGTCTAGAAGGAAACTTGTGGTATTGGGTTCCAATTAGAAACGTCAGGATGAACTTAGAGTCTTTAATAGGTAGATAAATATTGATAGATAGATAAGTAGATAGATAGATGATAGATAGATAGATAGATAGATAGATAGATAGATAGACAGACAGACGAAGAGAGGGATTTATATGTGTTTACAT